AACTGTGCCGTACTCGTGTGTATGTTATATTTTCACCAGCGTCTGTGGTGTAGCGGTTTGGCACTTCGCACTCTCACGCAGGAGACACTTAGTTTGATTTTCGAGTAGGGAGAATTTTTGTAGGGTAGCTGAGTCTTTCTTTCTGATGGGATGTCGTATCCCTCTCAGCTCGAAGTTCACCTCCTTAATGATCTAAATAATAATAATAAATAGCATTTGTATAGCGCATGTCCCCACTCGAAAGCAAGCTCTATGCGCTTTACACTATATTATTACCGCAGCAGACCATAGAACACTCAAGAAACATTCGATCAGCTTCCCCGGAAGCATGCAGAGCAAGCAGCTGGTTAAGCGCTCAAACACTAACAAACTGACAAGATCTTTTACAGTGTATAGCTGGGTACCCATTCCCACCTGGGTGAAGGGGGAGGGGGGGGGGGATTCGTGTAAAGTGCTTTACTTGGACACAACGTCGGGCCCGCGGCTCGAATCTCCGAACACGCAACCTCACGATTACGAGACCAGTAGCCTAATCCCTAGGCCTCCTTAATGATCTAAATGTCGAAGGGGACATTTTATGTGCTTTCGTACAAAGTAGTGAATCCATACCCCGTATAATGGCCCATGCATATTGATTTCTTTGTGATATGCTTATATAAAATGTTTCAAACTGTGTACATACATCTTATTATCAAAATTTACATTAATGTATGGTTGCTTTATGTAATCAATTAGTAAAATCATTATCATTATTATTATTATTACATTATTATTACTATTATTATTGTTATTATTATTTAAATTATTACTACGACTACTATACTTCTCTCATTATTATTATTATTATTATTATTATTATTATTATTATTATTATTATTATTATTATTATTATTATTATTATTATTATTATTATTATTATTATTATTATTAACAGTCGAATCCTGCATTATAGCGGGATTCTCTTTATAAGTGATCCAGTAATAAATTCAAGGGAAATAGTACAGTATGCCTAATAAATTCAAGGGAAATAGTACAGTATGCCTAATCTATGAGTCTGGTTTTCTGTTTGTTTCTTTTTGAAATCTTCCTTGGTGATGATTTGTTTCAACATGATCTCTAGGTCTTACTTGATCAAAAATTGAATAAGGTTTCTTTCTCTAGAGTTACCAATGTTTACAGTTCAGCATTGGAGATCAGAAAGAAAGTTCTATTGACTAACTCACTCGTTGTGTTGCCCCCCCCCCCCCCACACACACACACACCACCACACCCTGTAGTGAGTTCCGTCTCCTTGCGCACGTCACACATTCGCTTCATCCATCACAGCGTTGTGACTCCGCATCGGAGAAGTGAGAGGCATGGTAGGCCTAGATAATCTAGACTAGGCTGGCCTATCACGCTATGGGTTCTACTTGTCTGTGCGTACCGCATCCTCCCCGCTCATTCGCTCCGGCCTTCATTGTTGGCACATCTGGGCTCTCCCATTCTTTGTTTCGCAAGATCACCAACAAGTTTCTGAACTGGCGAGGTTTTACATATATGAATAAATGACCTATGCGCTTTGCACAGCAGCAGCAATATTGCGCTGTAACCGATCCGCATGTTTGTCTGATTGCGCTATAGCAGTATTTTATTTACAAAGATAAAGAAAGGAAAAAAACGTGGTTTTAGAAGTGTCTTTATAACAGACTTCTCGTTATTTCAGGACTCGTTATATGTGGAAGCAAGAGTATTATTATTATTATTATTATTATTATTATTATTATTATTATTATTATTATTATTACTGTTATTATGATGATGATGATGATGATGATGATGATGATGATGATGATGATGATGATGATGATGATCATCATCATCATCATCATCATCATCATCATCACCAACATCATCATCAAGAGATCAAGAAGCCTAGGCTAATTTAATCTTATGAGTAAACATTTATAGTTCGTGACAGTAGAGAACAGGCTGGGTACCAGTATTTGCTCAGAGTTTTTGTAATAGTTAATATTTTTTTAATTGTTTGTTTTCCTTATCATTCGCCAAATATATCATGCTTGATTGTTGTTTTAATTAATCTTGTGAAATGGGCGCGACTACATATATATATATATATATATATATATATATATATATATATATATATATATATATATATATATATATATATATATATATATATAAGTACTAAGATTTAGTGTTGGGTCCTCATACCCAACCTAGCGCGTCCCCGAGTGGTGGATAGGGGAAAGGCCTCCAGATATCGAGGTTACCTGTTAACGAACCAAATGGGAGATTGTCGTGGAGAGTAGAGGAGAATCCTGGTGGCACAGGTGCTTCAATAAATACCTCACACACTTATAGAAGGGACCATCTTGGCGACGGGAGGCGCCATAATCCTACCAAAGCCCCCATTGCCTTGTGGGTTGTCAGTGTACGACAAAGGTTAGCAGAGAAAACTGTACACAAACCAGCAATAGGCAACGGGAAACCACTGCTGCAATATCCCAAGACTAGTCATGGAAAAGTACATTCATTCATAAGATAACAGCGTTAAGGGGGTTCATGATCCAGCTCTGAACTCCCCGCTCGGTAGGGACCTCCAAGGGCAGCAGGTGGCGCCCGATCGTCATCCAGCTACTAGCTGCAAAAATAAGCAACTTAACATAGCCACATGGAATGTGAGAACAATGTACCAGAAAGGCAAATTAGATAATATAGGGAAGGAAATGGACAGGATGAAGCTAAATATGTTAGGCCTTTCAGAAGTTTGATGGGAGGGGGGCAGGCTTGATTAAAAGAGGATGCAAAACAATTGTATACTCAAGAGGAAAAACCCATGAAAGAGGAGTCGGAATTTTATTTGACGAAGGAACAGCAAAGAGCATCAAAGATTTTTGGGGAGTGTCAGATAGAGTCTTACTTACTTTTACTTTTACTTTTTTCTTCCGCTTGTACCAGTGGGTGTCGCGGGGGAGACACAGGCGTCTGTCTGCAGCAAGGCGAGTGACCTGTAGGAGGGACATCACGTGAGCTCTGAGGGTGTCTGCCACGGATTCACTCCATTGTCGTCTTGGTCTTCCTCTGGCTCTCCATCCAGAATATTTAATGTTGTATGCTCTCAGAGCTGGATAGTTTGAGGGCATCCACGTGAGGTGTCCGAACCACTTGACCTTTTGTTTTTCAATGTGTGGTAGGACTGGTGTTGCTCCTACGGTGTCCCTTATGAATTCATTTTTTATTTTGTCTCTTCTTGTTTTGTTGACCGCTCTTCTTAAACATTTCATCTCGCATGTGACCAGTTTCCTCTCTAGGGCTTTTGTCAGGGACCATGTCTGGCACTGATATGTGTGTGTTGGACGGAAAATGGCTTTGATGAGCTTGGCCTTGGTGCTCATGTTGATATTGGGATGTTTCAGGAGAGGGCCGAGTTGATAGCTGCTTTCTGGCATCTAATCTCTATTTCTCGTTCAAATTTTTCCATTTTCTGAGAAAAAAAATACTGCCCAACTATTTGAATTCTCTGCTTTGTTTTAGTTGGGATCCATTGATGTCGATATCCATGGGATCCATTGATGTCGATATCCACTTTGTCTGGTCTCCGGCTAATTGTCATGACTTCGGTTTTGCTAATATTGATCTTCATGTCATATTTCTCGCAGCTCGCATTTAGTTGGTTCAAATGCTCTTGTAGCTGGGTCTTGTTGTTCATCATTGCCTGGTCGTCTGCAAGCATGAGTTCGTTTAGTGCCTCTCGATCTGGATTGGTCTCCTTTGTAATCTGGTCCATGTAGATCACGAAGAGCAGAGGGGAGATATTGCAGCCCTGTCTGACTCCGGATGTTACTGGAAACCAGTCTGATGTCCCATTAGTAGTGCGGACTGTGCTGCTGGTGCAGTCTAGCAGTTGTCCCTTGATGTCATACTGCTCCAGGATCTTCCATAGCTTGTTTCTATTTACTCGATCGAAGGCTTTTTCTTGATCCACAAATACAAGATGTAGATCTTGGTCGTATTCCAAAGCCCTCTCACACAGTTGTCGGAGTGCAAAGATTGCATCAGTGCATCCTCCTCCTTTTCTAAAACCAAACTGGGTGTCACTGAGAAGATGTTCGGCTTTTGCGCGAGTGCGTCGGTCTAGGATCTTTGCATACATTTTCCCCGCTTGGCTGCGAAGACGTATGCCTCTGTAGGTGTTGCAGTCTTTCTTGCTGACTTTTTTCTTCCATATAGGCACCACTATCGCATTTTGCCAGTCTGCTGGTACTTTTCTTTCTTTCCAGGCTTTCTGGAAGATGATTGTAAGCCAATGTATTCCGGTTTCACCGCATGAAAGGATGGCTTCGTTTGTGATGCCGTCGTCTCCAGCTGCCTTGTTCTTTGGACTAGTCTTCAGTGCTTCTATCACTTCACTCTCCAGGATGGTAGGTTCTGAATGTTCTGGGTAGTTGGCGATGCTGTGTGTTTTGTGCCTGTACTCCTGATAGTTTTAGTAGTTCTTGAACATATTCTTTCCATCTCTTTATTATTTCCTTCTCTTCATGTAGAGCTTCTCCATTAGTATCGTTGGCGATAGTGGCGGGTACATAGGGTTCGTCTCTCACTCTCATTCTCTTCACCTTCTTGTAGAACTTTCTTGATGAGGTCTTGCAGGTTTCACTTAGCTTTTCGCAATACGGTGTCCATGACTTTTCTTTTGATGTTATTACGTCTTCTTGCAAGTCTATATTTAATGTAGTCCTCTTCGTTTTTAGACAAGACCTATACATTATACAGTATCCTTTTCCCCTGATAGCATCCTGAACTTCTTGGTTCCACCAGGCTGTTGCTTTTCTGTGTTTTCCTCTGGCCTTCTTGGTACTACAGACTTCTTTCTTAGTGTCCAGGAGAGTTGTTTTGAAGGTATCCCAAGCTTCCTCTGCAGTTAGTATTGTAGAGTTGATAGAGCCTAGCTTTTCATTTAGGGTGCATCTGATCTGAGTCTGCACCTGATCATCTCATAGTTTATGCATGTTAGGTCTCTCTTGCTGTCTTTTTTTTGGTTTTCTTTCTTTCTTGGTGGTCAACGTTGTGGCGATTGGCCTGTGGTCGGTGTCCAGGCCTGCATTGGGGATGGCTCTTGAGTCTGTGATTGTGATCTGCATTCGAGATCTCGCTAATATGAAGTCGATCTGAGATGAGACCTTGATGTTGTTCCATCTGTACCACGTGTACATCTGAGAGGCTCTGTGCTGGAAGGTGTTGGTGATGAATAAGTCGTGCTCTCCACACAGTTCCAACACATGGTTGCTTGGTGTTCTGTTGTCACTGTGTGGACCCAGGTATTTTGTCCACGGTGTTTTTCTCTCTCCGACTCTTCCGTTGAAGTCTCCCACTACATAAAGATCTTCCTCGTCTGGGATGCTGCTAATTAAGTCCGAGAGTTGTTCGAAGAAAGAGTCCTTTTCTTCGTCTGAGTAGGAGTCGTTACACGGTGCATACACCTGAATGTAGCTTGTGGTCTTTTTGCCCTCTCTAATGCTGATTTTGATGAGTCTTTCAGAAATGAAATCTGTATTCAATATTTCCTTTGCGTTGTCTGGGTGTATGATGAAACCCACACCGTGTTCAGCTCTTTGCTCTTTTCTTACCCCGCTCCAAATGAGGACAACGTTGGAGTGGATCTCTTTTGTACCTGTCCCTTTTTTCCTGATGTCTGTAATGCCCATGATGGAGATCTTGTTCTGTGTCATGAACTCCACTATCTCAGGTTCTTTGTTTGTCAAGCTGCAAATGCTCCAGGTCCCAATTTTTCTTTTTTTCTTGTTCGTTGTCAGTTTTCCTCGCTAGGTCGTTTTCCGTTTTGATCAGTCCGTTTGCGTCTCTTTTTATTTTCTTGAGCAATATTAATATCCGCTGCTGGCCTGCTAAGCCAGCGCAGTTTCACCAGAGCCCCGTTTGCCAAAAACGTTTCAGGGTGACCCGGGTCGGCCTTCACGGCTAGCGTAACACCTCAGTGACATAAAGTCACACCGTACTTCACTCAAACCCAGATATCCCATCCCCTACTTTGTCCTGTTTCCATCTCTCACAGCGTGGACAAGGATTTTGGCTTCGAGAGACTCAGATAGAGTCATCGTGGCTAAATTAGAGGGAAAACCTTTTGACATAAATGCCATCCTAATATATGCACCAACATCAAAGCACGACAAGGAGGAAATTGAGACTTTTTTATGAAGACCTTGATAAGGCAATGAAACAGTTAAAATCACAAGATGTAAAGGTAGTCATGGGAGACTTTCATGCCAAAGTAGGAAGTACACGTATAGATGATATAGTTGGGCCATTGGGGATTGGGTAAAGAGAATGAATGCGGGGAATGACTGGTAGAATAGTGCAGAAAAAATAATTTTATATCCAACACCTGGTATGAAAATCACCCAAGAAGACGATACACTTGGAAGAGTCCTGGCGATAGAAGTAGAAATCAAATAGACTTCATACTTATTCAGAAATGTTTTAGAAATACAATTAAATCATCTAAATCACTGGCTAGAGCAGACTGTGATAGTGACCATGTACCAGTCTCGTGTAAAATACAGATAAGACTGAAGAAACTTAAAAAGTCAAAGTATCAACCAAAATTTGACGTAGGCCTTTTAAAGGCTAACCAAGAACTGAAAGAACGTTTCTCCATAAATGTAAGCAATATATTTCAAGCTTTGGAAAACATTACTAAATCGGAAGAACTATGAGGCAAAATGAAAGACTCAATAATGGAAGTTGGGGAAGAAAACATTCCCCCGAAAGCTAAAAAAAGCCAATAAAAGATGGATGACTCAGGACATATTAAAACAAATGGAAGAGAGAAGAAAGGCAACATCTAATGTTGAAAAGTACAACATCTTAAACAGGGAAATAAAGAAAAAATGCAACGAAGCAAAAGAAACATGAATAAATTATCAGTATAAACAAATAGAAAAGAACCAAAACAAAAACAGAAAATACATGCATTCCAAAATCAAAGAAGTAAGTGGGATAAAAGGATGCTCAAATACAGGATGCATAAGATCAAAAGGAGGAGATATAATAATGGGCAACGGGGATGTCTAAAACAGATGGTCAGATTACATGGAGGAACTTATGAAAGATAACAGAGGAGAAAAACCGGCAATAAAGAATGAAATAAATGGACCACCAATACTGAAAGCAAAAGTACAAGCTGCCATTAGGAAAACGAAACAAGGAAAAGCCGCAGGGCTAGATAATATTCCAGTTGAAGTGATTGTAGCGCTTGAAGAACTAGGCACTTAAATAACAACAAAGCTCCTGAATGCTATTTATGACAGCGGTGAGATCCCAGAAGATATGATGAAGTCAGTTTTTATAGCTTTACTTAAAACACCAGGTGTCGCTGAGTGTGATATGCATAAAACAATTAGCCTTATGAGTCATTTTACAAAAAATATTGCGGGTTGTTATAACGGGAAGATTGAGAAAAAGTGTAAGACCAGAGATATGTAAAACGAAGGGCACCAGAAATGCTATATTCACCTTAACAATGTTAATGGAAAGATGTATTGATGGACAGAAAGATCTGTGTTTATGCTTCATGTATTATTCAAAGGCGTTCGTTAAAGTTAGACATGATGAGCTATTTAAAATACTGGAAAAACTAGACATAGATGAAGAAGATCTGAGAATTATCAGGAATTTGTACTGGGACCAAAACGCCGCTGTACGAATTAATGGAGGATACAGTGAATACAAGCAGATTAGGCGAGGAGTGATGCAAGGATGTGCTATGTCACCAGACCTCTTTAACATGTACAGTGAAACAATCCTTAGAAACATAGAAGAATGTCCAGGTCTCAAAGTAAATGGAGAAAAGATTAATACCATCTGGTATGCAGATGACACAGTTTTGATAGCAGGCTCTGAAAAAGATCTTCAATAGCTTCTAGATACTGTTGTGACAGAAAGTGAACGTAAAGGATGATTGCTGAATGTAAAGAAAACAGAATGCATGGTAATATCCAAAAAAGCAGCAAATCCTAGTTGTAATCTCATTAGCAAAAGTGAAAAGATCAAACTAGTCCAACAATTTAGATATCTAGGATATATGATAACATCTGATGCCAAATGTTCCACAGAAATAAGACGGAGAATTACAATGGCTAAGGCTAGTTTCAATAAAATGAGCCCAATCCTGAAAAATAGAAACATCTCAATGAACACCAAAATGAAAGTTCTGAAATGCTATGTTTGGTCAACCCTTCTATATGGCTGTGAATGCTGGACTATCACTAAAGAGAGTGAAAATAAAATAGAAGCAACAGAAATGTGGTTTCTTAGGAGACTGCTAAGAGTATTGTGGAAGGAAAAGAAATCAAATGGGGTAGTGCTTGATGAGGCCCACGTGGGACGCTCAATGTTAAAAACAATCAGGAAACGACAAATGTAGTTTTTGGGACACATAAATAGACATAAGGGTCTTGAACATCCACCTCTCACTGGCAAAATTGAGAGCAAGCGAGGAAGGGGAAGGTCCAGAACAACATACTTTGGGAACCTAAACAAATGGGTAACGTAGCTTTTTTGAGAGTATCCGAGCAAAGGAAGGAATGGAGAACCATGATCGCCGATGTCTGTCATGTCGCATATCTGGCACTGGATAATGGATATATATCTTTATATTGTGTTTAACTCGTTCACGTTCACTCTGTTTCTCTCTTTTGCATATACATATACGAGAGAGAGAGAGAGAGAGAGAGAGAGAGAGAGAGAGAGAGAGAGAGAGAGGGGGGGTGAGAGAATGAATGAAAGAGAGAAAGAGAGAGAGAAAGAGAGAAAGAAAGAGAGAAAGAAAGAGAGATAGAAAGAGAGAGAGAGCGAAAAAGAGAGAGACAGAGAGAGAGAGAGAGAGAGAGAGGGAGAGAGAGAGAGAGAGAGAGAGAGAGAGAGAGAGAGAGAGAGAGAGAGAGAGAGAGAGAGAGAGAGCGGGGGGGGGGGGGGGAGAGACCGTCAAGTGATTTACATGTCAATCTCATTCCGAGGACTCAGAATCCAAATATAACAACTAAATGTGTAATGTTGCGAAATGAGAGATGTACTGTTTTCACTCTGAGGCAGCGAATCCTTGCCAGACAGAAATTTCTGATTGACATAACCAATGTGTTAAACCTGTTGATTAAAATAATAGATTGTGGCTCAATATTGCCCAACATTAACACTGTTGATCAGTCAGTTGGTGGAAGATTAAAAAGCAGGGTGAGTGAATTCGAAGAAAAGGGGTGGGACAGGGAAAGGAGCGGTAGGGGTTGCTTTTGATTCTTTTGAACCCCGTGGGTTGCTCTGAGGAGTTAATATCTATCGCTTGACGCGAATTTTTAGTTTTGATAATAGTTTTACGGCACTTGCAACACAAAAAGGTCATATAAGTGCCGAAGATTAGAGGTGTTACAAGAGAGTAACAAACTCAAAAAAGAAGGAGGGGAGATAAAGACGATAGACGTTTGATAGAAAAGTAGAAGCAAACCACACCAAAGCATCCGCCAACCACCCACTCACACGAATTTACAAGGCAGTAAAAAACACAAAAAACAGAAGAGATAAGGGGAATAGATGTATGATAGGAAAGCAGTAAACCACACCAGAGCACCTGATCCTGAAAACACCCACGCGATATCACACGCTAGCGGGGAGTTTGGTAACGGGCGACGGGTATCACCCATGTGGTGACACGTATTGATTTTAAGGTCTTTCTTGAAAATACGTATTAATATTAGCAGGTGGTCGGTACGAATATTTTAAACATCTTCATCTCTTTTTTTCTTTGCTTCGTCTACTGCAGGATGTAGCCCTCCAACAACGACATCCACTATGTTTTATCCGCTGTTTTCTATGCCCAGGTTGTACCCATTTGCTCTTTGATGTTCTCCTGGCATCTTCTTTGTGATCTACCTCTGCCTTTTGATCTTTTTCTTGTTCTTGGTCTCTAATCCGTACACATTTGTTTTGTCCATCTGTTGTCCTTCACTCTAACCATGCGACCAGCCCATTTTCCATTTTTGTTGTAGTGCAAATTTGGGGATATCTCGCTACATTAGAATGACCAAGTTTTATCTGACACTCTTGGCCGTTTTGAGTTATTGCTGTTACATAAGACCATGAGGTCAGAAATCAAATGTTCTATCTGTTTAATCAAAACCGTAAGATTATTCAGAGTCTTTAGGCCTATCAATATATTCAAAGAGTTGCATTTGAAAACGCTTGATCGTGTTGTGAAACAACAGTTTTAATTTTTAACGTCAAATTTATCAAAACTAAGTACTGAGCACATTGAACTTTGTAATTCTAGGGTAGCGATCTGCCACTTCAGTTTTCTCTTCTCAAACTGACAGATCACTACCCTAAAATTACAAACGTTTTATCTGCACAGTACCCGCCACAGGCGTCGGTAGCCTAGTTATACGGGGTGCCCACTACGGCCGATCGCCCGACTCGATCGCCTCAAAAACAAACGTGTTTGTTTTCAGTTTCAGGCGATCGGCCCGATCCAGCCGTAGTGGGCATCCCGTATTAGGCTACCGGACTCGTAATCGTGAGATTGCGGGTTCGAGCCTCAGCTCGGTCCGACGTTGTGTCCTTGGGAAAGGCACTTTATACGAATTCCCCACTTGGCTCGGTCCTTTCGGAGACGGACGTTAAACTAGGAGGTCCCGCCACTAAAATATCAAAAGAGTGTTGATAG